TCAAATGAATGGGGAAGAAATATCTGCCGTTAGAGAAGACTCTATATGGAATACAGTTCCCTTCTTTCATGTTACTGACAACAAAATGTGCGATATTATGCACGATATATTTCTTGGAGTCGCAAAATATAATATACATAAAATCTTAAATTATTTCATATACGAAAAGAAGTTTTTTACTTTGGAATCTTTTAATTATAGGAAACAAATGTTTGAATATGGGCCTACAAACACGAGAAATATAAGTCCACCATTTACAAAAATGCAACTAAAAAATTGTAATATAAAAATGAATGCATCTGAAATGAAACTTTTCTTGCATTGTGTCCTATTAATAATTGGAGATTTAATTGATGAATCGGATATTGTATATGAGTTTTTAGTAACTTTCGTGGAAATTGTAGACATCGTTTTATTAGAAGAATTTGACGAAGCAATTTTAAAAAAATTACAGCTTTTGATCGCTAAACATAACAAATTTTTTGTTGAATATTTTGGTGAAAAATTATAACCGAAATATCACTTCATGGTTCATTATATTTCTGCAATAAAATCCGTGGGTCCACTCAGGCATTTGTGGTGTTTTAGATTTGAAGGAAAGCACGCATTTTTCAAAAAATATGCAAATGTTATTACTTCAAGGAAAAACATTCCATACACATTAGCTATAAAGCATTCCCTTACATTTGCATCAAATACATTAGAAAATAATTTCTTTCAAAAGGATATATCTGATCTTAAAGAAGTTGCACTAGTTGATCTAACTCAGTTCAATTTTTATACAAACTTATGCACAAACTTTACTATTGGGTATGAAGTAAATGGCTTATCTTACAAGGGTATAATATATGAAAAAGGTAGTTACGTACGATGGAACAATATTATATGTATTATAATAACAATATTTTATGAATCGACTAATGACTTTTATGTGATAGGTCAAGAAATTAATACTGTTTTTTCAAATAAATTTCAATCCTACAAATTTTTAAACAAATGTAATTGTTATTATATTAAATTAATTAGTGAAGTTTCTTATCCTATTAAACAATGTACATTAAATAATGGAGAGGTTATGTTAAGATTTTAAATTAATTTGCTTAAGAGTAAGAAATTTCTTATCTATTATCTAATACCCAATGTATCTTATGTAATAAATTATCTAATATAAATTAAATCTGTGTACAATTCTTTAGGTATTAACAAAATAAAACATTTATACATACAACTACTGTGTTATATCTTATTTTTGATTTAGTATCTTAATTTAACGTAACATATTACGACGACAATTTATTTAGTAGAATTAACAAATTTTTACTGTAAAAACAAAAGTTAAAATTCTTGAAATGACAAATAAATTGTTATTTAGTCAAAAACGATTAATTGTTATCTTAAATAATAAACTTGTTATGGTAACAATTTCGTCAAAAATGTTTACATTGTTGTGAGAACTGCTAGACATTGTTGGGTACAATATGACTCAGAAAAATACTTGAAACAAAAGTCAAAATTGTTGATATTACAACTTTTTTTTTTCAGTGTAATGTACCCATACTTGAGCAATTTCGTCTAATATATCCCGAAGTGGTGTTTGGTGGTTTCTTGAATTTAAGTGGTTTATCAGTTCCCCATGAGGTACAGATACTTTTAAGGTTCGGTCCTAAATATTCACCTCCTACCGTTCCTGACATTTCTTCCTATATGGTGGCCTTGGAGCGATATTACGTTGGCTATGTTGAGCATGGAATGCTATTAAGCATGTATGATCGGGTTGAGTTAGAGTCACATTATTCTTTGTTTGTGGATGCCATGTTAAAGCACCAGATTCCATCTTTGCATCATAGGATGCTGTCCCATATATACCAGGTAACACTGGCTTTCTTGAAGAAACATGATGATTTAATTATGGTTCAGGCTGATAAAGGTTAGACAACTATATTGATGTTTCGTTCCGATTGTATTTCGAAGATGGACACTTGGCTCGCCTCCTATTTGTCTTCCGGTGCTTGTATCGAGTTCACTGGTGATAAAGATATATTGTTGAAGCGTTTGCTTGCTTTGTATAAGAGGGTGGTTTTACCTTCGCGTCATTTGTATGATTTGAATCCTTCCATTTATCCCTCCAACATACACAAAGATTTACTTGTTAAATTACAGGGCCCGCCTCAGATTTCTTATTTGTATGGTTGTATAAAGACCCATAAACCAGATTTTCCCATTCGTCCGATTTGCAGCCCTATTGATTGGTACATTGGCCCTTTGCATAAACTATGCACTCATTTTCTAACAAAAATTTTGGGGGATAGGCTGTCTACTCATCTCTTGGATCTAAGCCCTATTCCTAATTATGTGTTTATAACCTTAGACATAAAAGAAATGTACCCTAAGACCCCTTTGGCGCCTTTATGGCAGGTCCTAGAAAATTTAATGTCTTTCGACTGGTTTCAGGATCGTTGTCCTATAAGTATGGATCTGTTAAGGAAATTGTTGGATTATATCCTACATCAGGCTAATTATTTCTCTTTCAACTCCGTTTGGTACCAGCAACTTGAGGGTCTGCCCCAAGGCGGCTCTGCTTCTGGTCTGCTGGCTACATTGTTTCTCGATTCCAGGTTGGAAATATGTTACAACCTCATTTTTGCTGCTCACCATGTTAAAGCCTGGTGGAAATTCGTTGATGATGTGCTGGTCTATATACCTAAGGCTTCTGTATTGGATTTTGTGTCAGCTTTCTCTCGTTGGACTGGTTATGAGGTGACTCATGAAGACGAATCTTTAAATGATAGCTGTCAGGGTTATCCGACCATATCCTATCTGGACTATAACATATCCCGTACACCTACTCAATTCTTAATATCGCTGTATTTGAAACCTACCGCATCTCATCGTATAGTCCATTATACTACATATGGTAATAAGAATCCAAAAAGAACTGCCTTATTGTATCATTTGCGTAGCGTGTTGTTCCGTAGTAGTGTTCAATCATGAACATAAATTTATAAATATTTTAATTATTTTATATATTATATTATTTTAGTTTATTATTATCGCTTAAAACCTTATCACCTAAATTCCCAGAATAATGTACAAGGGTAAAAATACATTATATTAATATAGCAAGCATTGTAACATTTGAGCATCCGTATCTAATTATAACAATAAATATATTTATAGAAACAATAGGAGGAAAATCCCTAGTGTTGGGACTTCCGTCCTTTTTTAACCTTTTTTACAAACAATAACAAAATGTAATACAGTCCAATAAAATAATAACCTTGATGTAAAATTAATCTTAAGATATTTTTGTATAAATACAGAACGTTGTTTTAAATAAAATCAGTAATTTACAAATACTCAAACGGTTCAGTTGTTTTAATTCTGAACATTTGGTCCTTCGAGCCTTAGCGTTTTCCCTCACCTGTGGTAAGAGACCTAAGGATATTAAAAAAAAAATCACCAAAACTTTATATTGGTGCGGAATATTCCTTCAAGAAGAAGAAATATTTCAACAAAAAAAAAAGCAGACAGAAAATTTGTTTGTTTGGTATCCTCCCGGCGCTTAGTGGCCGAAGTGCTGCAGCGAAGGAAGCCGTGCATCATTGAAGGGCAGCGGCAGAAAAAAAAAAAATATACATTTAGTTAGAGAAATTGTAAGGTCGGAGCGGCGTTTTACTAACACATTCTGATCAGGGTCGGAGGCGTTAATCGCTATAGACACCAATAGGATTTAAAAATTGTAATATTAGGTAGAAATAGGGTCAATCCAACGGGAGTAACAGCGGCAGTGACCTTTTACTAATAGAAAGCGGCAGCTAAGGAACAGCGGCAGCCAAGAAGACAGCGGCAGCTACGACACAGCGGCAGCCAAGAAGACAGCGGCAGCTACGACACAACGGCAGCCAAGAAGACAGCGGCAGCTAAGAAACAGCGGCAGCTAAATTCAGCGGCAGTATCTAGTGGATGCCTTACAACCATCCATTTACAACCATTCAGCGGATGAATACCAGTGGGCCAAAAAAGCTGACAATAGAAGAATATCAGGCCAGGCAGCAAAGGAAAAAGGAAGAAGCTGCTACTAGAATTCCGGCGGTAAAAAAACCAAAAGTTAGAGGTGGTTAGAGGAGAAAAGAAAGAGCCAATTTGAGAAGAGAGTACAAACAAACCCACCTAACAAAAGAGTGGAAGAAATAAACAAAAGGATACTAATATTAGAAAAGGAAATAGAAAATCATAGAAACATTGTAATAAATAATAATAGAAATAAAAAAAAAAAAAATTAAAATACTCGAAAAAGAAGATTTTATATATAAAAAAAAAACAACAAATATGGCACAAAAACTAAAGCTTTATGAAGCGCAAAAAAAGCTAGGAGAAGAAATAATAACTGCAGTAGAAAAAATTAAAGAAAAGGGACTACGTAAGACAGCCGATAAAATAGAAAAAGTGGAAAACAACTGGAAAAAATTTCAGGTAAACCACGAAGAACTACTAAAAGAAGGCGCAGAAACAGATGAGTACCTTAAAGAATGTTGGTTCGATACAATCCAAAAGTATTATAAAAAGATGTTAGAAACCGATAATACCACTGAAACAACGGAAAAAGTCAACAAAGAAGAAAGTGAAGCGGATAAATATCAGAAGACAATGATATAACTATAGTTGACACTAAAAAACAGGTTCAAAAAATCAGTAAATTAGAAACCAGGTTAATGAGGCTGATTGAAGACTTGCAAGAAGATTTAGATGCAATGTTAGAAATTCATTACAACAACGAACTTCAAGTACCAGATTGGCGAATAGAAGAATTAAAAAAATAACAAAAAATTATAGAGATTATATATAATGACACACTGGAAATAAGTAAAAATGGCAGAACAACATATAAACAGATCAATACCCAACTAAATAAAAAACTTTATCAATTAAATGAAAGTAAAAAAAAAGCAGAACTAGTGGTAAAAAATGAATTAGAGCCGGTAAAGCTAGAACCATTCAAGATGCCGACGTTCTACGGAGATGTAAAAGAGTGGAACACATTTTCTAATTTGTTTCATGAAGCTATACATATAAGAGATATACCAGATTCCGAAAAAATGTATAGATTAAAGGCAGTAGTAAAAGGTGAAGCTGGCAGATTAATCCAGCATATGAATGTATCTGAGGCTAATTATAAAACAGCCTGGGAAATGCTACAAAAAAGATACAATAACAGAAGGTGGTTATTTAGAACACAGGTAGATCAATTACTCGACCAACCATCTACAACGGTAGGGGATGCTAAAAGTATAAGGCAGCTAACAGACACAACAAACGAATGCATTAATACAATAAAAGGAATGGGTATCGACCTTAATAATGCAGAACCTTTAATAGCACGAATATTATTAAGAAAGCTTACAAAACTTAGATGAGGTACAAACATTTTTAGAACATCAATTTCAAGCGCTAGATGCTATGAAAAATAAAGAAACAGACGATAGAAAGATAAATTATCCGAAGAAAATATGTGCGTACTGTAATAAGGCGGGACATACAACAAACGACAGCAGAAAATTTTCAGCAATGTCAAATTTTGAAAGACGATTACCAGTAAATCAGCAAATAAATACATCTATAAACTTTAACTGTTCATTTTGTAGAAAACAGGGGTACAAAATATACAGCTGCTCATCATTTAGTTCATTGCCTATCAGCAATAAAAGAGCATTTCTAAACGCTAACGACACGTGTAAAATTTGCCTGAGCCATAAAAATCAAGACAAATGCATATCAAAGTACACATGTAAGATATGTAATAGTAGAGATCATCATACCTTGCTACATAATGAGCATCAACAAGAAAAAAAGGATAAATCAACAAAAACTAAGGTGATCGCAGTAACAAAAAAAGATGAAAGCGAAGTAGTATTACTACCAACAGCAATAGTTAAAGGGAACACAATTAGAGGAGAATATAAAGAACTACATGCGCTTATAGACCAAGGATCCCAAGCATCAGTGATATCAGAAGAAGCTGTTAATATCTTAGGTTTACAAAAAGTAAAAACCGATATTAAATTAACTGGGCTTGCTGAAACTTCAGTAGGGCAAGCAAATTCAAAGGTCATAATGGAAATAAAATCTAAAATTAATAATATAAATATGAAAGAAGAGTTTATAGTCATGAACAAGCTAATTAGACCATTGCCAGAAAAGACAATAGACCACAATAAGAATCAGTGGAAAAGCTACAACTTAGCAGATCCTGAATTCATGAAAACAAAACAAATCGACTTAATAATAGGCAGTGACATTATCCCGAAAATAATAAAGAAAGGGTTCAAGAAAATTAATGGAATTATCGCCCAAGAAACAATATTTGGATGGATAATATCAGGCAAAGTATTAAAGAAACCAGCAAAAAGAAGTAAAGTAACAATTACAACAAAAAACATAGAAAAGTTTTGGGAACTAGAAGAAGCAAATAACACAATCAATGAAAAAACAGCAGAAGATGAAATATGTATGCAATTTTATGATGACACCACTAAAATAGACGGCGACAAAAAATTTATAGTGAAACTTCCATTAAAAAAAGATGCCACACTAGATGAATCTAGAAATCAAGCAATGGCAAGATTCCTAAACCAAGAGAAAAAAATGAGTAATGAGAAAAGAACTGAATACATAAAATTCATGCAAGAATATGAGCAGAAAGGACATATGGAAAAAGTAAAAGATAATACAATAGGAAAATATTACCTACCGCATCAAGCAGTGATAAGAGAATCAAGTCGCACTACAAAACTAAGAGTAGTATTCGATGCATCAGCAAAATCGACAAATGGAAAAAGCTTGAACGACATAATGATGACGGGGCCAAGATTACAGCAGGATATATTTGATATATTAATGAAATGGCGATTATGGAAATTCGTCGCTTCAGCCGATGTAGAAAAAATGTTCAGGCAAATAAAAATTGCACGAGAAGACCAAGATTATCAAAGAATTTTATGGAGAGAAAATGCAAGGGAAAAAATTATGGAATATAGATTAACAACAGTTACATATGGAACCGCAGCTGCACCTTTTCTAGCAGTTTATGTATGCAATATTTATGCTATAAAATTTGTTCTAATGTTATAATATTGAATTTAATCTTTATAATATTTCTAATATCAGTATAACTCTATAGCATATTAAATATCTATATAACTTTATATATAGCATATTAAATACCATTTTTGGCTTTATTAATTAATCTGAAAAAACTTTCCTTTCCTATATAGAAAATGCAGGTATCAATCAGATTAACAATTCATCCAGCATAACAATATTACCAAATGTTTCAGAAACCACTTCTAACATAGTCCCATCTGCTATAGTCACTTCTAATGAAACTTCTGTTGTATCAATGGATCTGTGTAAAGTCAAAATAACAGAAAAAAATCTATGTAATTTTTATGGTACTCAGCTGCCACAAAATATACTTTATACAACATTATATCCAAAAATGATACCCGGTGGATTTCATAATATAAGTGGTCGACGAGTACCAAAAGAGCTTCAAATATTGTTGAGTTTTGGGCCTAAATATAGTCCTATAAAGGTTCCAAATATTAATGATTATTTTGTGGCTTTAAATAGCTATAATGAGATACATCAAGAACAATGTATAATCTTAGATTATCAAAGTCCTTTAGAGATGCAAAAACATTTTTCCCAGTTTTTGGAAATTATGACAAAATACCAAAAATCGAATCGAACTCATCAGATATTATTTCAAATGTATGCATATGCATCCGAGTATATTAAAAAACAAAAAGATCTTATAATTGTACAAGCTGACAAAGGACATTCTACATGTTTAATGAAAAAAATTGACTACATACGAAAAATGAATATATGGATAGATCAAAATTAGAAAAAGGTTCTTATGTGTTAATCTCAGGGAATCAACAAGCTCTATTTAATCGTCTAACAGCACATTTCCGAAGAATAGTAAGGCCTCTCTGTCAATGGCATGAAAAGGAGCCAACATCTTTCCCGAAAACCATTCTACTGAGTTTACAGCGTATGATATCCAATTGCAATCCCACTTTACCATATTTGTATGGTATGTTAAAATTACATAAACCAGATCAACCACTACGACCAATCTGTAGTCCTTTGAATTGGTACATTCATCCTCTTCATCAATTGGTGCAGCATGTATTGACAGAAACTTTATCAGATCGTATGTCTAAACATAATTTGAAGAACATGAGTTATCTAACCGGTTATTTGATTTCACACCAACCATTACCAGGTTATGTCTTTATGTCAATGGATATCAAAGACATGTATCCAAGTACAAATGTAGCATCCCTTTGGCGCACCCTGAAAAACTTAATGTGTCTATCTTTGTTCAATCATGAACATAAATTTATAAATATTTAATTATTTTATATATTATATTATTTTAGTTTATTATTATCGCTTAAAACCTTATCACCTAAATTCCCAGAATAATGTACAAGGGTAAAAATACATTATATTAATATAGCAAGCATTGTAACATTTGAGCATCCGTATCTAATTATAACAATAAATATATTTATAGAAACAATAGGAGGAAAATCCCTAGTGTTGGGACTTCCGTCCTTTTTTAACCTTTTTTACAAACAATAACAAAATGTAATACAGTCCATTAAAACAATAACCTTGATGTAAAATTAATCTTAAGATATTTTTGTATAAATACAGAACGTTGTTTTAAATAAAATCAGTAATTTACAAATACTCAAACGGTTCAGTTGTTTTAATTCTGAACAACGGGTGAAAAATACCCTAATTTAAAATAGCATAATATTGTAAAAACTCGTAGTTTAAATATTTTATGATACACATGACACCGTATCTAATTAAGATAATAAAAATGTATTTAAAGACAATAAAAGAAAATCCTAAGTGCCGGGATTTTCTTCTGAGAAAAAATAGTATCTTTTTGTTTTGAACCTTTGCGACAACAATAAAATGTAACTAAAAATAATACAGTCCACTAAAATAAATGATAACAGGCAACAAATTATTTCAAACCTTATTTGTAAATTTAGTTAAGATATGTTAAGACAATTTTGTATAAATAGAGAATAATTTTCAAAATAAAATCAGTATTCAATCGATACTCTAGCGTAAGCAACTATCTCCCTTTCATTTCAATTATTAAACAGCTTGCTTCAATATACTTAGATTCGAAAATTGAAATCCATTATCAGTTTATATTCCTTGCAAACCTGGTAGAAATATGTTGATGACATACTTTGATATATTCCTAGGACATCAATAGATAATTTCATGGCGGCGTTTACCAAGTGGACTGGCTATGATGTAACAAAAAACTGAACTAAATCTTTACCTACACCAACCTTTTCAAACATTTTCTATGGAATTGCAAAAACAACTACCTTGTATGAAAAT